TAAGTGTATAACAACTTAAAATAAAAGGATTAGTAAATTATGATTTATATCATGGATATAAACCCTTCGACAAAAAAAAAGGGTTCGGGTTCAGTAATGAAATTTAGAAAGGGTCCGGGTTTGGGTCCGAGTTCAGGGAACATAAAAAAATGACTCTAAATAAGACTTTTTTTTTCATTCATTTATTATACTTCAATATATACACATTCATAATTTACAAATAAAAAATTTTAAAATAAAATAATTTATATTTTAAAAGTTTTATTCAATCGCACAATTATAATATCTTCTAAAATATCATCCTTGAGATTTCCACGTAAATTCGATATTTCAAAAATGAAAATCCACGTTCTACGCTTATCTAAAATAGATAGTTATCTTTATATTACATAAATTATTGTACTTGTGTCGCCGGTACAGCCGTGACAATTCTAGACAAGATATATAATTCTGGATATATTATTGAAGAATTTCTTCCCAGAATTTTAAAATATTTGTATCCTTATTTATTCTCTTAACTTATGAGAACTTTTCTACTAAAGATGCAATAGGAATTTTTTGATCCTCCTTTTTATCTGATGATAATTTGATTTTTTTCCCTCTATCTAAGAGTAAGATTTCAAGATCATCAATGTTGCTATCATTATCATTATTATCACTCAACCAGTAGGTATTATTGTTGTAGCCTCCAATATATTGTAAATAATGGAGTTTCGCGTATGCCATAAATCCTTAAGATGGTCTTTTACTATTTGTTTTTGCTCAATACTCAATAAAACTTGATATCGAGGGTCTAAATAAATATATAGAAGCGTATAAACACTATTTTGCAAATATTATTGCTCTCGAATTTTCATGTTTTCTATTATTTCATATGAAAATGGACTAGTAAATCTTTCTAAATCTAATCGGCATCTAATCCATATGCCATAAAAATCAGTTAAACCTAATTGTTCTGATCGTAATTTTAATGTTGTTTTTTTTAAAGTAAATAATACACTAGTAAGGTCTTTTATTTGGCATCAATCATCTTCCTACAAAATGACTTCACATGCTCCATAATAAAATCATTACAGAAATCTTTCAAACTTAATAATCTTTTTAGCATCATACAAATTGAGGACCAACGTGTTGTGCAATCTAATATTGCCATTGATCTTTTCATTGATTTTAATATTCTTACAATTGTGGGAGTTCTTAAATATTTTGCAACATCTCTTGCTTTATCAATGATAGTTTTAAAGTGATTATTTTTTAGGCAGTTTAATAGCCAATTGTAGAGTATGGACTGCACATCTGATGCAATATAATTTATAGGAAATCTATTAATAAATTTACATGATAAAGTATTATTACCTATACTAGAAAATAATTAATGATATCAATCTCTAAATAAAATGGAAGTCCAAGAGGAAAATTGAAATAAAAACGCGAAGATAGAATAAATGATTCCACGAAAAAAACGTTAATAAAATTTAAAAAATTTATATTTTTTTTGAAAAATATATTTTTATTAAAAATTTTTTTTTATGATATCTAGAACCATTGGACCCTCCACTTTTAAGGGGTTCGGTTCGGGTACAGACAAAATGCGAGGGTTCAGGGCCCGGATTCGGGTTCACAGTCCTGATTTATATATCCTTTTATGTTTATTTATATAATAAAAAAAATTTAAATTAAATGATTAATTACAAATTTAAAAAAAATTTGATTAATTCCAAAAATTTACGAAGTATAATTAAATTTTACATTATTGCATAAGATATATATAAACAAAGAAGGTCTAGATTATAATATTTTCTCTCCTTATTTATAAAAATTTGAATACACACATAGTTTAAATATTACTTTGCTAAAGTTAGACGATTTACTTTTTATAAATTACTAATTTATACATAAAACTATTCTAAAAAAATAAATAACTTTTATGAGAAATATTTGCATTCATTTAAATTCAATAAAAATAAGACAATATTTGCATGACTTGAGACCATCTTACAACAGGGATAACTAGTGTTGTTAAATGGCTCATTTGAGCTGATTTTTAAATACGGCTAACTCAATATTTTATCCAGAAAAATATTACACATGTCTGAAGATTTTGATCACAGATGGTACAAAGGTTTGGACATCTATTAGCTTTATCTCAAGGTTTAGGCAATATTTTTCCTTCTAAAATATTTAAAATTGGCTCAAATCGAGCCGTTTAACAACACTAGGGATAACATATATAAAGTTTTATTATTTTTTTTGCAGATTGACTTCTCTTAAGATTTTTTTAAGCTCAATGTATGCTCTTTATTGTTTATAATTTAATAAAGTATAGTTTTGAAGCAACTCTCAGCAGGTTAGTATTATCAGTCCTAACTAGCTGTATTATAACGACTAGCTTGATTTAACTGGAAATATTGATAGTATACCGAAAAGGCATTCGCACTTATAATATTTAAAAAATATTTATATTAAAAATAATTTATTAATTTCGCGCAACTTTTTAATTCAAAATATCGAAATATTTTATTTCATTAGAATCATATATTAATATAAAAAGGTTGTATAAAATAAAAAATAGGAGAAAATATAAATTAATGATCTGCATTGGGCTTAATTTTCCAAGCCCGGCTAGGCCCAAAATATTAAAAAAAAATTCGTCCGGCCTGACCCGACCCAGCCCGAACATAAATTAACGGGCCGGGCTGTGATTTGCAGATCTCTAGTATAAATGTCAGGGGCTTTTATTAAACCATTCCTCGTTGAGGGTGGGTAATAATTTTCGAAAGATATAAATGTAATGCGTTGCCAGCGAGTCCGGTCATTTAGATATTGTATGCCGAGATTTGTGAGAAGCATTTTTATCCAGCACTTCAGGTAAAATGTAATTTTTACGTTTTTTTGGACAGGTTAAGTGTTAGATACTTTAGCATATAATGATATTATATCATCATTTTGAGGGTTAAACTCCCAATAAATATTTTTTCATTAGAGATGTATTATATAATATCATTTTTTGGTACTATTAGCAGTAATGTTAAAAAATTTTCATCATTGAAATATTTTTTTTGACATAATTGATATTTTGTTGGGTTTACTTAATTCAATAATTTCTTTATGGTATTTTTCTATTCCGTCAAGGAGTAAAATTTCATTAAATTTTTAGACATATTTTTTTATATGATAAATTTATTTAAAGGATAGGTCTGTTATTTTATATATAAAAATTTCAAAGATAGATAATAAAAACTGATTATTATTTGGACTTGTTCCTCATTTAAAAATAGATTTCATAATATCTTAAATTTGAGACTTTAAGTATTTACTGATCTGATTAAAAGTTATCAATGTAATAATTTTTTGCGTAGGTATGGTAAAAACGTATATTTTGACTACAAAATTCGCAGCATACGTGGTCAGGCACGTAGCCGTGGAGGGGGGCAAAAAATGCAGACAATGTATATTTTCTTAAAAACTTTGCCTATAAGGTAATGACCTATTTTACGAAGTTAGATGATCCTATTATGAGTGCCCTTAATAAAATGGCCTGAAAAAGACTTCTTTTCAGAAGAAGGCGCATTCTAGGGAACTCAATTTTTGTATTAAAATATATAAAGAAATTATACTAGTATTTTATGCAATCTCTTTTTAAAAAATGATATTGATTTATTATATATCATAGGATGAATTTTATTTGATTGTTATGCGCCTTTATGAATATGTTATTCGCATATCTTGACTACCAAATACTGATGAAATTATTTAAAAATCAGCTCAATCACAAAGGGGATTGTATATATTTTTTAGAATATTTTGTATATTAATCCTCAATATTTGATTTTTTGAAAATATAATTTAACGGCAAAACCAAATTTAGCCGAAAATATCCTCAGTCTCAAGGTTATATGCCGGTTATATATATAATAATTTATAACATTTTTATGAATAAAATTGTATTTTATATTTGATAGATTTACAGATTATTTAGGTATTAATAATTGCCAATTTTTTAGCTACTAGTCGTAATAAATTCACAATATGGAATACTCTGTGGCCCTCTAAACGAGGTCGCAAAGGCACTGTTCATCAAACCCCCCCCCCCCCCCCCTCACACTCTCAAATATTAGAACTTTCGCTCATCGAGCATAGAAATGAAATACGGTTCTTCAATACTATATCGCAATAAAAATGTTAAAATATATGAGAATAACCATTTATTTATATATTACATTGTGATTTCGTACTCAAAATGCAAGAGATCTTTTTTTTTTAAATGCTCTCCTGGACAATTTCTTAAAAATATAGAACACTATAATACTTAGCCGACGGTTTAATAAATTGTTTTCATTAGTCTCCTCATTCATTTAAAAAAAATATTCTGGGCTTATGAGCAAAATCTTTAGGCTTGCATAATATTTTTCGGATAAAATATTGATTTAGCCGTTTTTAAAAATCGGCTTAAATTGAGCCGTTTAACAACACAAGTTGAATTGAATATATTTTACCATAGAAATATTTTCTAAGAATCGAAAAAATGGAAATAGGAAATATAAGTGAATGAATATGATATATTGTTCTATGATCACAATTTTTAAATATATTGTAATTATTTTTAATTTTTATAGATAATAATGACGATTTAAAATATTCAGTTTTATAAAATATTCACCCCGGTTTGGGTTTTTAAAAATAGTTTTTTAGGCCCGGCCCTGATATTTTTTAAAAAAGCCGGGCCCGGCCTGCAGATTTTTACATCTTATTAGATATATCGATAGGATGTGACCATGCTATCTATAAAATAAACGATTCATTTTCTTTACAAAATCGTTAAAAATTTGAAAAGAGCACTTATTATTTTTTTAAATTTAAAAACGAATCTTATCGATATATTTATTTTTATTTAATATAAAACGGAATAATGTCGAACATTAAAAAAAAATTTCCGGTCTCTTTTTCGAAAATAATAAATTGAAATAATAATTTAAATCTAATTTATAACTATTTATTAGGTCATATATTTAGACGATGAAATAGTTAGCTCATTTGTTCAAATTAGAGGATCAGTTCCTCTTTTCTGGGAACAAACTGGGATTCAAGTGGGCGCTCACAAAATCCAATTATCAAGAGGATTTGAAGCGTCTCGTCCCGCTTATGAAAGGTAAATTTCTATATTTTTAAATAATATTTTCCTTTTTCTTACAAAAGACAATTAAGTTTGATTAATAAAAATCCTAAATTTTAAGTATTTATTATCTACGGTCGGAGTTGCGCAGTAAAGCTAAATAATACTTGTATTTAAGATACGATCCCTTAGTACTTTCTATATTTTTGACATTTTTAATAAGATTATATTTGTATCTAAATACGTTATTTTCAAAGGAATCTTTTTCATTTCAGGGATATTATGTGTTAGTGTCCTAGAGATATTTATGAAAAAAATTCTAAATAATTGAAAATTTTTGAGATAGTTTCAATTTATATGGAATTAATCTTTCAGCTCGTTGAAATAATCAATATATTGTGTTCTTTGAAAATAAATTATATTAAATTTTATTAACTATCTTAATATAAGAAATATTAATCATAATTTTTAAAAATTTTGTCAAAAGATACAAGTATCTTTTTGATATTTTGAATTAGATACTGATTTATAAAAAGATTCATGTATCTTTCTTATATTTTGCATCTTTCTGATATTTTAAATAGAATACTTATATCTGTATTGAGGATACACTTTCTTTATAAAAAATATTTATCGAAATCTTTTTTTTAAATGACCTGTCCAATTAGTGTATTTAAAATCTGCTTATGTTTTCTCAAATTTTAAGTATTTGATTTTGGGTCTCATAAATGTTATAGCATTTACAAAGCTTCTTAGGTGTTAAAAAATATACTTTACGAAATATTTAAATCTAATTTTCTTTTAAATTTATTATTATTTTTATTGATTTCTGATCAAAATATCTTCCGGTAAAATGAAAAAAGAAATTTTTTTATTATATAAACTTCCTTCTTTTATATTTTTACTTTTGAACCCCTTTTATATCTTTTCTCGAGGGATTGGATATTTGAAAAGGTGAAACCCGGGAAACATTGTAAAATTATCTAACTACTCCTTTCCGGGATCCAAACTCAAAACTCTAATAAAGAAAAAAGTTATAGTTATACTGTAATACCAGTTATCGGAAAAACAATAAATCTGGTTTTTGATTTCAAAATAATGTTTTTGGTTATTTTTAATATTTTTTTTTCCAAGACTTGCCATTATACCCATAAAATCGCATTCCTTTTCATAAAATTTTAAAATGAAGCATTTTCTTATTTACTATATTATATTTAAATAATTTCAGTGAAAATTTAAAAAAAAATTGCTTTTAGTTTATAAAAATTGTTTTTGAGTCGAGTACTATAAAAGTTTAATTATGTATTATATATTATAATTATAAATTATTATTTAAAAAAACATATAGGCACATGCATTTAATAAAAACTTTATACCAAAACATAATAATACTCAATTTATTGGGCAATAAAGAAGGGGAAAAATTACTCAGTGAAACCTACCAGGTTTGTAATCTCATAATTTTTTTTATCATACATTCAAAAGCAATAACTTTAGTTCTACATAATGTTGTTAAAAAACCTATTCGATTTTTAAAAATGGCTCGATTAAGATTATAACCATTAATATTCAGCCTGGTGATTTTGCTCATAGATGCCAGAAAGGCTTGGACTTATATTTACCACATCTCGAGGCTTACACCATATTATTTTAGCTAAAATATAAATCGGGTCATTTTTAAATATCGACAATCGTGTTTTCGCAATTTTATTTGCAAAAGTAAAAAAAAAACGCAAATGGAATCATAATTGTTATTTTGCAAATCATTTTTATTTAGCAGCGACCACTTTCCCTCAAAAAAAAAATAACTGCGAATATAATTGCGATTACTTCTGCTAGGACTTAGGCTTAAAAAGATGACATTTTTGTTCATCCCCCTAAAATAAATTTTAAAATTATAACTTCCTTTTTAAAAATTTTAACTTGCTATTCAACTCGCCCATGGCCTGTTTTTTTTAAGATCTAGGTCCATGACTTTTTTGATTTTAATGATGATGTGTAATATGCTATGCTTTATATCCTAATACATGTTATAATAATACGCACTAAATAAAATAGCCATAAGCGTTTTAAAAAATAAATGTTTTAACTTATATATAAAAAATCGATCATAAATCATCATTACGCGGGACCCCTTAGGATTTGTATGAAATTTTGTATACAAACTAAGATATACATAATTAAAGCAGTATTCAAGACATCATTGCTCTTATATCTTGGAGATATCAAGGGTTAAAATATGAAAAATGATTTATTTTTACGCTTATCAATTGCCATTCGATCAAAGATTTGCGAAAAACTACAGAATTATAAATAATGATTCTTATATTTAAATAATATTATTATTTATTTTTTCACCCTGCGGTCCATCCAAACCCATTCTAAAGTTTAAAATCCTTGTCAAAAATAATGAGTTTCTCCGATTTTTATTAAATTTTAAGCAAATGCTACTAAGACCAATCTATGGAATGCCAAGCTTTTGCCTTCATGGCTGAGATCCAATTATTTTATACAGATACAGATTGATCTTACTGACAATTGCATAATTTTATAAAGACAAGGAATTTGAACTTTAGATTGGAGTTAAATTGGCCACATTAAGAAAGTTAAAATATTTGAAAGGAAAATAATGTATACACCTTCTTTTGACATTGCAGAGTTGTTAACGCTCCTTTTTAAAAATAGCTATCTCCCGCTCCCGCTACTACATTAAAGGAGCTAGCTTCCGCTTAAAGTAACGGAGCGCCACTCCATAACCTCTCCTTTGATTTAGAAGGTACAAGAAACAAAATCATATTTTTTATCAAAAGGTTTTATTTATATTAAATGATCTATCAAAATATTTATAATCTTTTATTAACCTTTAAAAGTAATAAATTTTCTAAATTAGAATCTAAAATACATCCATGCTTCTCTCCCCTATGACCTGTTTTGCAATACTAAATAAGCGCTCCACAGGAGCACTAGAGGGAAACGGGGTATTGTATTTTATAAAGATATTTTTTAATTCAGGTATAAAAAAGGAGGTTGAACAAGTAATGAGAAAATTGAAATAAATATTAAAATATATTTAAAAAAGCATCATATCTAACAACCTAGGCTCAACTATAATGAATTGCCCAAAAATAATTATAACCATTTTAAAAAAAAATTATTCAAAAATAAAAAAAAATATAGATATCATTTTGTATTTAAAAGAAAGGTTTTTTTTACTTTTAAATGCTTTTTTAGATTGAAGCTGCTCGCTTTTGAAAATGAAATACTTTTACTTATCCACAAAAGGCATTTTGCCCTTAAATTTGTTGGATCATTTGGATCAACATCTTTTAGAAGTTTAAAATATTTTTTTCTATGATCTCTAAATCCATAATATCTAAAACTATTTTTTATTATATATCTATAAAATGAATATTAATATAATATGACTTACAAGATTTTCCAAAAAATTTTCAATAGAAAAATGAAAAACTTGATGTTTAATATTTAAAATGATTAGATGAAAAACCAATTTAAAACTCGGCTCAACATTTATTAATGGATAAATTTAAATAAAATAAAATTTCATTTTTATTGAATTTTAATTAACCGCTCCAGCCCTAAAAGGAGCTAGCTCTCGCTACTCAATTTTAAAAAGGAGGGCGCTCCAGATGTTTTTGAAAAAATGTAGCGGCGCGCTCCTTAACAACTCTGGACATTAGAATCATTATTTATAATCTTGTAGTTTTAGTATATATTTAATTAAATGGCAATAAGCGTAAAAATACCCCGATATCTCCAAAAAGTTAGCTTGCTAAAATTCAAATGCTGCTTTAGTTACAGTACCTTAAATTATATACAAAATTTTGGATGAGAATCGTGATCGATTATACATAGAATGACTTATACCCATGATTTTTTCTAAGAGTGCTTTATCATTTATAAATAAATAAAATACTATTTTCTTAGCATCTTCACAAAATATCTTCTTTCCACGATATTATTCCGATGGTCCAATTCGATTACCACGCCAATTGTCGCAACATTAAAAATGCGGCCCAAAATTTGTCAAATTTATGGGAACAAAATCTATTACCCTCCCTCATAAAACTCAAAAATTCTCATTCTAGTGATTATAAAGGAATGTTTTTCCTGAGTCACGGTACCAGTGAAGGGACCAGTAAAGCAAATAGCTTCGATCAAAATGGTTTGAAAAATATTTTTTTGTTATCTTAGATTTTTTTAAAACTTAATTGCAAAGTGTAAAAGATGCATTTTACAATAAACGCAATATCGCCCGTCCTATTTTTCTATTCTGAATAACGCTTATATGATAATGTCTAACAATGCTTCTAGTTAAAATTAGAATATAATGTTTACCAGAGACCAGCTAAATCGAGTAGCGATCTCCGTGACTTAACCTTTTATAAGTGGGAATTAGGTAATATATCTCAAACTCAGAAATATTTATTTTATTCTCTATTTTAATATAATGCATTAAATTCAAATATTTTATAATGACTCTGTAGTAATTTAATGATGTTTATCTGTTCTAATTTTTTTAAGGAAAACTTTTCTAGTTTTTCTAAATTGTTATATTAAATCAGGAAAAAAATGGAAGAATTAGAAAGGGAAATATAATATTCAATTTGCCTCTTGTTATGGCTCAGGCAGCGGGTCTGCCCTGCAGGACTCTAATGTATGCTAATAGTAGTTACATTTTATCTGGAAAATATAGTTTTTTATATTAAATGATAGGATCATTATATTCATATTTTCAAAGATTTTCAGGTCTTGTTTTAACTTTTATTTGCAAATATGTAAATGAAATTAATAATTTATTATGAAAAATATGCGATGATTATATGTTTCAAGTTGTACAATTTATTTTGAAAAAAATAAAATAGTTGTTTTCAGATCAAATTGTGTAGATTGTATTGATAGAACGAATGCCACTCAAACCTATATTGCCAGAAAAGTATAATTTTTTTTATTTTTATTTTTGTAATTTACTATTTGATCAAGCCAATGTTGATAATTTTTAAAGCCATTTTTAACCATTCTAAAAATAAATGATTGTATTTGAGCACGCTCCTAAATAATATTCATACTTTAATTTTTTATATAATATGTATTCATCAAGCATATAATATACTCAATTTATACGTTATTAAAAATATTATGATTAATAATATAATATTAATATGCAATTTAAATCCTAATGTAAACGAACATAATGATGAAAATACAAATTTAACCGAGCCATTATGGACAATAATATATATTTTTTAAAAAAATTTAAAATAAAAAATTGATTATTGAGTATTAAATTTAATAAATACGAGAATTTTGTCCTGGCTAATTAAGTTGATAAAACATAATTTGCCTTTAGAATGCCTGTTGCTATCCTTTGTCTTAAATCAAAGCCTTCGTGAGGCTCCCCCAAATCTTGGTTCGATGACCGACATCTTTGAAGATGTTTTTCGCCAAATCATCATATGTTGTTAGGGTTGATTATTTGTATGAAAATGTAACTTGATAATTCCGCTATAATAAAATATAGTATAAAAGTAGTTCTCTTGTTGAATAGGAATGTCATAGAGAAGTTATTATAAAGAAATTATCACAAAAATACATTATTAAGAATAATAGGCTCATAAAAAATTAAACGCCATAGTATAAAAATAATTTTTACATTTTTTTTACTGGTTATTATTGATTTTGATTATGAAGTCGCTCCACTCTAATTTTTTATACTCATATAAAATGGTAATAGTAATGTTTATCTAAAGTTTAATAAAATTCGATTTTACCCAATTTTCATTTTTAGGATTTTAATTTTATTCTGAGAATAAGAGGTCTTTTCTGAAGATAAAAAGTATAATCTTTATTTTAATACTAGATTTATTATATGTATTCCCTTAATTTTTATAATCATTAAATTAATGAATATAGACACTAGCAAAAAGTCAATTTTTCATGCTTTGACCGTAAATATCTTCATAAGTATAAAAGCTAGGATGTTAAAATTTTGCCCAAGTATAGATTACAAGACTCTTAGGTTATATACGGATTTTTATCAAAATTGAAATGGGTCGGCCGAGAATCGTGTTTTTTGATCGATTTGACATGGAATGCCCCAAGAGAAACTGTGCCTATTCTACCAATTACCTTACACTTTGGCGATTCACCCATTGTTTAAAGAGAGGCTGCCACTATCGTTCAAAATCGGCATAATTATATTGCCTGGCATGGCACTTATGCCACATACGTTAATTTTAAACCATTCCATTAATTCTGTACCAGGAATTTTAGCTAAGAGATTGTTTGAATCAACAGTTGGTTGGGATGAATCAATTGCTGATTGGGTAGATGAAGGTTTAATCGATATACTGCCGGCGAATGATGCTTTTCATTATCCAGAGTCCGCCTTAGCGATTCTATAGTGGATATATTTCTAGCAATGAATTGTACAGTTTCTTCTCTATTATTGTTGATAGAGAGTCAATGGTTCTTTCATTATAACAATACTTATATAAATATTTAACGGATTGAACTGAGGAGCAGATTGTATTTATTAGATAGATGTTTATTGTAAGGCACTACCCAAGGATTAACAAAATCAAATTAATTTTTTAAAGATAACACCGTCATATGGCCACCTTTATAAATGGTAACCATAATTATCAATACTAGAGGTTTCTATGAATGATTTCGGATTTTATTTGAGCACTTTCCATCAACCACGCATTTATTAGGAAATGTTGATCTATGTTTATTACAATTCTGATAATTTGAAATAAAAAGTGTTCGTTAATTTTGTCAGTAATTTAGCGCACACTATTTCATCCGAAGTATCAACCTTCGATAACTTGTTATCATTATCAAGTTAAGACACATGTGTGTGATTCTATGATATCTATATAGGCGTACTTTTCCAAGAATATGATAAAATTTTATTGGATATTATAATAATGAATAATTAAGACTTATGAAAGTTTATCAAAGCATCGTACAATTGCCATCTCATCCTGATATAGCTTATGCATATGCCTTGGGCCAGCATTAAAAGAAGAATGCAAAATAATTCTAATACCAAGAGTGTATTGGTGACTCCCATTAAAATAGCATCAATGCCTTGAGAGAGGTCTACGCACGTGTTCAAAAAATATCCTAAATCATTAACAAAAACCTTTATTATTGATAATTATGGGACTTTTTTTAGGCGGCGATATGACAGTGTTACTTTTCGTAAAAAAAGAACGAATTTGATTTCGCTAATCATTGCATAGCGCCTTACAATAAACACTTATCTAAAAAAATACAGTGCTCACATAAATGTAGAAATTTGTTTTTCAGTCCAATCTGTCAAATGTATATATATATTTATTATTATTAAGGTTATGATAGAACCGCTGCCTTTCTCTTGACTAATAATATAGATGATCGGCACAATTTATTGTTTCTAAGTATTATCCGCTATAGAATCGCTATGGCGAAATCTTGATTATAAAACGCAGGATCAATCTCTAGCATTCTATTGTTTAAATTTTCATTTGCCTAATCAACAAAATATTCTTTTCCTATTAAAATCTGGTACAAAATTAACGGAGGGGTTTAAAATTAATGCATGTAACACAAGTGCCAGAATATATATTTATGCGAATTTTATACAATATTATGTGTGGAAACCTCTCTAAACAATGGGAAACGCCAATGGGGTGATGATTAGTTAATTGGTCGAATACACCTTTTTTCTAAAGAGGGTGAAGTTTTTTACTCAATTATGGAGCTGAGGCAACATGTTGATGATTTATATACCTCTAATGAAATGTTAGCGGTAATAAAAGATGGGTGTGTTAGACATGTTATCTGATGATGTTGAATGAAAAAATTGTTAAGTGTATGGTCTATCATTTAAAATTCCCTATCAATTGCGTCAATTATTTGCTGCCATTTTACCACTTTGTGAACCTAGTGATCCCGTTTTTATGACACATTTTTAAACTTTTCTGAATTCAAAAAATGATTACAGCATTTCCCTGATAACAATGATGTCGGCGAAAATTTTGCTTTGTGATTCATCGATCCATTTTTGCTTCAACAGGTCTACTCCTACAATATCCACTCAGTCTCCATCGAATGCAGATAATATTATGCTGTCTTCATCGAGAGGTAACTTTCCACGATACAGATGATATGCATAAAAAAATTCTGATAATTATAATATATTTAATTGAGATCAAAAGTTTATCTATGACAAAATTATGTCCCCTCCACTCTATACCACGATGTGTTTTTCATAGGCCCAGGGGCCAGGGAAATCTTTTTTTTTAAACACGATAATATACGAATTAAGAGCCCAAGGAAAAATTACAACTAATTGCGATATTTTTCCCCCTTAATATTATTTTCATTCCAATCATTACTAATATTATCATTAATGTTGTCATTAAAATATTCACACTATTTATCAATCAATGGGATTACCACCATGATAAACCATATTATAATTAATCATTATTTAAATTTACAATTTCTATACAAATTCTACTATCATAGTCATGTTGATTATTATAATACTCGTATCGGATATATTATCTATTATGAAAACAATTAATATTTGCAGATACGATAATCCATGTTTCGCATATTTCAATTCCAATTTTCCGTATTTACACAATTTATCATAATGCTTTTGTTATTTCTCCTTGGTGACTTTCACACCAATAATTTTCGTTATAACCGTTCATATAATTTGATTTTTATTGAAATATGTATTTCTCCTTATTTCCTTGCAATGTGTATATTACAAACATCATCATATATATAAATCTGTTTAATTTACTCCGGTTACACTAATTTTTTTAATTTCAATATTTATTTCCTTATTCGCAATAATTGACTGATCCTGCTTGATTTTCTTCAGAGCTTCCACTTTAGCACTACAAATTTTAATCTACACTATATCAAAACAAATATATAATTTCAAACCAGAGAATCTTCAAAATAATTTTGAGCAAAAATCTATAAAGATTTTTTTTTCTGAAGAGAAGAATAGAGATTTTTAATTAAATTTTCCCTAAAAATGCAAAATAAGTAAATCTTTTGTAATTTATATACATAAAAAATCAAGGTAAAATCAAAAATTTTTAAATAAAAATCTTCAAACAAAAAAATGGAATTTTTCGGGGGTATAAAAAAATATGTATATGCTAAATGACAATTTATTCCTTAAAAATCTATAGTATTCCATTAAAAAATATAAAGTTTTTTCAATGTCCTGGATCTAATTCCTGCCGTCTAATCACAGTTCATAACCATAATTTGTTCATATTAGGCATTATTCTACACGAAACAAAAGTCTCTCACAATGATTCTGCCTGCTCCTCTGAGGTGACAACCGAGGCAGTGATAACCGAAACTGGTTGCCACGTACTGTTCACCAAAACCTTGGAAATCACCTACAAGATTCCTTACAAGGAAATCTTCAATATTTAATACAATTATTTAAAAATGGTGCTGGTCTTAAAACAATCGAAGCGAAGTTATGCAATAAAAGTCACAACGTAAATTTAATGTAAATAAAAATAATAAAAAGGATATATACCAGGAAGGTAAAAAAATTAAATTTTAATTAATTAAAATTTATTTTAACTTTATTGAGAATTTATTTTATTAAATAAAGTAAAAATTATGATAATAAAAGTCGTAATAAATTTTTTTAATTTAAAACAAAATTTTAGATAAAAATAAAGTTAATATAGTAAACGAAAATCCTTAAATAATAAAATTAGTAAATCATATAATACGTATTTAAAATTTAAAGACTCACCATTTAGGTCATATTGCGTCGGTGCATCTACCATCTTAGGGTTATGGATGTTATGCACCATGTTCAAATGTATCTCCATGACAAATCAACCACGATTCGGCCGACCCCCTTCAATTTTTTTAAAATTTAGTAACCGAATAAAC